GTAAGATTATTGTTGGATAAATTACTATACATATTTCCATACAACAAAATGTCAAAAATCATGGAATCACACAAAGGTATTATAGTCCAAAGTGAGTATTTCAAAATCTTAAAGCAACCAAATCAGCAAAAATGTGTCCATTGCTAGTGAGAGAATCTTACATGGTTGTGATATTCTCAAAGAGCTTATTTGTAGGTAAGGGTCCACTTAGCTGGTTTGAGCTTAGCTCCCTGAAATTTATACAAGAGAAATGGAGATAACAGTTACATTTAATTTTCTAATAGGAAAGTCATTCCATCATGAGGAACAAACACATGAACTTACAAATAACCAAGGTTAGGTATTCCACTTAGGTCAGGGATTGATCCTTGCAAGTTGCAGTTCCTGAGACTCCTAATAATTTAACCAAAAAAATGTTCAGCATCACAAAATTCCACACACCTTCAAGTCCACATATGCTTTCTAATAGTCATTTTCAATCCATGTTAAAATTATTAGGGACAGCTATATGATGCTTATTAATTCAGTAGTATGGTATTTAAGGTATTTCATGTTTATAATATTTTCATTTCATCCTAGTTGCGTAAGCAAAACCTAATTTCACTCTAAAAATTATCCTTCTAAGTTGTATTAGTTTCTCTTTAATGTAAATATGGTTTTAGAGAAATTTTATTGTTTTGTGTTTCTATTACTGATGATTTTAGCCATTGTTTGCTTGTAATGGTGAAACCATGTAAATATTGGTTTATAGAAATTTCAAATATGTAGTCTTATATGTATCACATATAAATATATTAATAAGATGGTAGCACTTGTCTCCTCATCTCTACCTTCTAAATCTAAATAATGCGAGGATAGGATCCTAGTAAGCACTTACAACTTCAATAATGTAGGTATGTTTCCAAATGATCCTGGAATAGTAGCCCCATCAAAGTTGTTATTGTCAAGTTGACTGCAAAAGGTAGAAATGGAAACTATTAAGGAAATCAAAGAAGATTATCAATTGAAATTTGAAATCTAAAAGCATTTTCATGTAAGATTATAAAGATATACTCAAGAGAAGAATGATCAATAGAAGAAAAATATAAAGGATCAATCAAACTATGGACTTTATTAATGAGAAAAAAAAAATGTTCTTCATGTTTGTATTTTATATATAAATACCTCATCTCCGTCCTATTATTTTCCTCCTCCTTGTGTTGAATAACTAACAAGGTACAATATATAGCTCTCACTCTCATTTAACATTTTCATTTAGCTATCCGGCTATCCCACAACAATCAGAATAAATGACTTACAAGCCTGAATCTCTATCAAAATATTTCTAGGAAAGTAAGAAAACATACAGGATGGCTAAATTCGGCATTTGGGCAAGCTCTTCTGGAAGATACCCTGATAAATTGTTATTGTTAAGAAAGCTACATAAGAAAAAATGAATGAAGCCTTAGAAGGAAGCTGAGTTGCACAAAATCACAGATAAGTTAATGCTACAGATATATTACAAGACTAAAATAGGAGAAATTAACCTGTGATAAACTTACAAGTGTATAAGGTTTGCTAATTTGGAGAGCTCCGGAGGGATTTGTCCGCTAATTGAATTATTATTCATGTGACTACTCAAAAGCAAAAAGAAGATAAGGAATAGATTGAAAATATAAGAAAGAAGAAAAAGTGAAAATAACAAGGGACAATAGTAGTGGCTATTTCAAACATGCGCTTACAAATGAGTTGTTTTGTTTAAGTTTGCAAATGATGTGGGTATTGGTCCGGATATGTTATTCTCGTCAACTTGAAGTATTTCTAGATTCGATAGATAGCCAAGTTCATCAGGCAAGGAACCTGTCAATTGGTTCCCACTCAGGAGCCTGCAAAATAGATCCATACCACTTCTAAATAAGCAAATAAGAAAATTTGATGCAGATATGCAGTATTACAATATTGATAACAAGATCAGAAATGAGCTAGAAAATCATTGTTAAAAAAATTTAACTTACAAGAGCTCCAAGGTTGTGATATTGCCAATCTCTTTTGGTATGCTCCCACTAATTTTGTTCCATATAAAACTCCTTTTACAATGGAAATGAATGATAAACCATCATTACGTGAAAAATTATAAACCTTCCAGAGGAAAGATTGACATAAAGGTAGCTTTCATAATATACTTAGCCTCACAATATCAACAAATGAGACAAGCGGCCAAGTGCTGGTGATAAAGTTCCGAAAAGATTCATATTCAATAGTTGCCTGCATGAATCAAAAAATAATAAAAAAAAAAATGAAGAAAGCAATATAACATAGTTGTTAATTAGTAAAAATGTCAAAAAGCAATCAGGTGAAAGTTTACTGGAAGTTGATATCTAGTTTTTGTGGGTTTGTTGACATTTAGAATTCTTGACATAAAAACAAAATAGCAGTAACCAGTTTAGGGCTATGATATGATGAAGGGCTTATAGCAGCAACTTTTCAATGATGTTAAGATGCATTAGCAAGTGTTCTGATTAGTACCTAGACCTATATATCTTGGTTGAATGACTGCAGTGATGGGTAATTTGTCCATAAACATGCAAAACTAAATTGACAACTAAAGCTTACAATTCTGTGACATGCAGATAGCCATCATCTGGGGTTGTATTAGAGCATACAACTCCAGTC